CAAAGTTGATATCTGATACTGACATGTAAAATCAATATGGTTCTAAATTTGAGAAAAAGGTAAAATGGCTTTTAATGTACTTTAAGCATAGAAGCTAATGAGGTTAATTGGGCAAATATTCAAAATCCTCTTGTGCCATATTTAAATAGCTCTCTATGACTAACATTTCATGCCAAATCTTTCTCACTTCACTAGGGCCATTCTCCACATCTTCAACAATTCAGAATGCTTCTAAAAAATATTGCAGTCTTAGCATTTGTTTTGTTGTTGCATGTTCTATGACTAAGAATTTTTTGAGCACAAAAACAGAATGGCAGTTTAAAATTGTGATACATTTTTCATTTTCTTAAAATGATTCCTTTTTCACCTTATAATATTATCTCTAATTTATCCTGCAAATCGCTTGTTTGTAAATTGTTGTTTGTGTGTTATCTTCCCCATTAGACTGTGAGCTCCTGGAAGGTAGATATGTTTCACTTTTCTTTTTATCCTCAGACCTTAGGATGTGCTTTGCACCAAATAAGAGCTTAATAAATGCTAATTGACTTGATTCCCAGTTGCAACAGATAGCTTTTACTTTTTTAAAGGAAAAAGCTAAATTGTAGAGAAATGCTAAAAATAAATTTTGTTTTCTTGATGGCATCACTGCATTATAATCATCTATCTGTGCTTCCTGGACTCCTTTTCCTCCTCCTGTTCCCTAACTGTGGACATTTCCTAAGATTTCTTCCTCATCTCTTTATTTTCCATAAGTGACTCTGTGTGATTTCAACTCTAGGAACATAATACCTGCCCCCTCCCTCAATTTCCCTGAGGATAAGCTTATCACCTGAAATCTTATCATCTTATATATTGACTCAACTTATGATACTCACTACTTTTCAGACACTTACTAGCTGTGTGACTCTGGCAAGTCACTTAACCCTGTTTGCCTCAGTTTTTTCATCAGTAAAATGAGTTGGAGAAAGAAATGGTAAACCACCCCAGTATCTTTGTGAAGAAAACCCTAAATGGGGTCACAAAAAGTCAGACACTACTGAACAATAAACCTTTTCAGTACCCTCAGTTGCCTCTGACTGGAGGCCCAGAGAGCAGAACAATAAACTTCCCCCAAAGCCTTTCTTTAGAGAGGGCTCAGAATTTTCCAGGTAACTTCATTTTCTATCAGTGGTCCTGCCTGTTTTCAACTTTAGGAACATCATGCTAGCTAGTACCTCCCCACCCGTTTCAGCTTCCTTTTCTATATTGTCTTCCCCTATTAGATTGTAAGCTCCTTAATAACAGGGACTTTTTTTTTTTAAATTTGTATCCCCAGTGCTTAGCACACAGCCTGGTACATAGAATGCATTTAATACATATTCACTAACTATTGTCTGTTTTTATGCATACACTCACTCAAATGGACAACAACAAATTCTAGTGGCTTCAACTATAACCTGATTTCTCTCTGGAGGTCCTTTTCTAGTTGAGGGACAGCTTCTCATGCATAGTCCTGTGGGTCATCTTAATGATGTTCGAAAAACTGGCTTCCCTAGCAATCTGGAATGATGCTGAAAGGGTTATAAAACTGCGCATACCCTTTGACCCAGCAATACCACCAAAAGAGATAAAAAACATTTGTACAAAAATATTCATAGTGACTCTTTTTGTGGCAAAAAATTGGAAATTGAAGGGATACTATTGCGCTATAAGAAATGATGAGCAAGGTGCTTTCAGAAAAACTCGGTAAGACTTACACGAACTGATGCAGAGTGAAGTGAGCAGAGCCAAGATATTGTGCACAGTAACAGCAATGTTGTACAATGATCAATTATGAAAAAGAAATGATCAATTTTGAATGACTTAGATTTTCTTAGCAATACAACGATCCTAGAGAATTCCAAAGCACTGTGATGAAAAATGCTATCCACCTCCAGAGGAAGAACAATTGTAGTTTGAATGTAAATTAAAACATACTATTTCTCATTCTCTGTGTGTGTGTGTGTTTTGAAGTCTGTGTTTCCTTTCACAACATGACTAATAAGGATATCTCTTTTGCATGATTGCATATGCATAACCTCTATCAAGTTGCTTAGCATCTGGGGGGGGAAGGAGGGAGAGAGTTTGGAACTCACAATTTTGGGAAATAAATGTTAAAGATTGTTTTTACCTATAATAGGGAAAAAAGTGTTATTTCAAACCTCCTAACCCCCCCCCCCCCACTGGCTCCCCTTCCTTGGATTCTACTGAAAAGAGAGCTGGACTTGGAACCAGAAAACCTCTTTGAATCCCTACTGTCCTTCACCGGATGTGTGACTTGGACAAGTCATTTAATGTCTTTGAGAGTCAGTTTCCTCACCTGCAAAAAGAAAAGGGATCTCTAAAGCCCCTTCTAGCTTTGAATTATGTGGTTACAAATTTCTTACAGTTCCAATAATGGCACCAATATTATCGCGGTATCAATATTATCTTAGTTACTCAGGTTTGACAACTCAGTGCTCTCTCCTTATTAGAGACAGTGTGGCTTGGGACCTCTCTGAACCTTGGTTTCCTCATCCATAAAAAACAAGTTGGTTTAGTTAGCTAGCCTCTAATGTTCCTTCCAGCTGTAAATCTATAATCCTATGGTCTTCTATAGTCACTATATGAATAAGTCTGGTTAATCTTTCCTTTGAAATATTTTCTCATCTCTATCTCTTCCATTCCAGGCACATACCATCAACCTACTCACAGTCTGAATAATAGCAAAGCTTGTCCCAACTAGTCTCTCTGTCTTCAGGCCTTAGTGCATTCCCTAAAATCTCTATGGAACATCAACATCAGGTGAAATTTCTTACATGCCACTATCATCATGTCATCCTCTCCCCGCCCCCTGCTAAAAACAAACAAAAAAACTAGAGTAGCTCTTCTGTTGCCTACAGAAAAATGTCCAAACTACTTTCCTAGCATTCAGTCCCCAGACAAACTGGATCCTTTCTAGTTGTCCAACTACCACAACACAAAATCTCTACTCCAGCCATGCCAATATCTTTTTTGTTCCCTATTTATTCCAGATTTCACTCACATTTTTCAATACACTTAGAATTTATTCCCATATCCTCTGTATTTATCTACATTTTACCCATCCTATAAGGTCCTCCATCAATGCCACTTCTTTAATGAAATTTTCCCTAGGCACACAGATCTCATTTCTCTGAACTTTAACAGTGTCCTACGCAAATTAACTCTTGTCTTGAATTTTTATTTGACTGATTTACATGTACAAGTCTTATGAAATTGTAACTGATAAAACTATAAGTTCTTAGAGGGTAGGGGTCATGACTTATACTTTTTGTGTGTTCTTCATAATGCTGAATAAACACATCATGCATCAACTAGAAATAATCAGTTTCCCAGCAATCTCTCTTGTTGAATAACACATTTCCCTACAGGTCAAATACAGTTAGTACAAATATTATTGTGATGAAAAATCCTGTCTAACAAGAAAACTATTCTAAGCTGTAGTTAATGGTCTACTTTGACAATATGATGAAACAAAATGCCCCCAAGCCAAAAGAAATGAGATGGTAGCCTTATTGGTCATGATAATGTGAGTTAGCTCATCTTATTTTCAAGTCTAATCCAAAAGATATCACATGAATAAATGTCTTTTTATACTAAAGATATGGTTGGCTTTCATCTTAGAATGAGGCATTTTAAAAATATATATAATTTAAAGAACTACCAATCTCAGATATAAAGCTAAACACCAAGCTCAAGAACTATAATAGGGATCACCTTTTTTGATAAAGTTACTTTTGCCAAAATCAGCATAGTCATGGAACCAGTAGGGAAAAATTCCTCTTTTTTTTTTCTTTTCTTTTTTCTTTCCAATCTGGAGGCAGCAGAGGTTGTAAAGGAAGTGGCAATGATAGTGTCCCAGACACAGGCCTTTCTCTTGTGGACTATGGTATGAGAAGCCCAGCCTTCTGAGAGAAGGGGAGAGAACACCAAGGATTCACCTGCCTCCTGAAGGAGGCTGCCCTCATGGACCAAAAGGGCAAACAATCACCTTGGGGGGAGAGGGAGGGATCAAGTGTCCAACTCTAAGGCAGGGCAGAGAGTTCGTTCACATACCAAAATAAATTCCTCTGCTTCTTATATTGTGTCTGTGCCTGATAAAAAAGAAGTTTCTGAAAACAAATTGTATTGTTGGAATTAATCTTCTTTGTTAACTGATCCATTCTGGCATTTTCTAAGGGATTTCATTAAAGAGAAAAAAAAAGTAAAGCGAGGATCATTTTTTAATAAAGATTAAAATTAAATAGCTGGCTTAATCTCTAACAAATAAGATACTTTAATAAATAATGAGACTTTGATCTTAAGGATATTCCCAAATTCGTGGAGTAGGTGCACTTTAGAAATGAAATAACCAGAAAGAAATTAACAAGAATATGATGAGTAGTTTCTCACATTGCATACTTTGACAGTTTTAATTATCAAGGATTAGAAATGTCAACAATTACACTTCCTATATTTTATAAATCTGAACTTCAAAAATAAACTTTTTAATTTTTTTAAAGTTCAATTTCATTCTTAACATTTGGGATTTGTTAAAAAACATTTTTAACTAATCATTATTTGCTACTGTAACTTTTATATTGGAGCTAAAGACAGGATGGGGTATTGACTTGATTTTTCAAATACACTGCCTTAAATTAAAAAAATTATAGTTTGACACTGTTAATCACTCTTTCTTGGAAAACCCTTCCTTCCTGGATCCTAGTTCTTCTGATTTTTTTCCCACCTGAGCCAGTTCTTTGTCATCTTCCCAATCTTCAAATGAGGTAGACTGAAATTTTAAAACAGTAGATTGGAACCAAATTTCTTTTCCCCCATCAACTTTCATTCATGATTTAAATAAGACGAAAACATAAAAGGTAAGCAGAGGACATTCTTCAAAATTAGGCATTTTCACAATTCACATTAGTGCCAAATATTACCATTGCAAACTTGAGGAATATGGATCATAAAGAACATACCTATTAATTCTTTATTTCTGACATCTAAGGCCATATTCCGTAAAGCTGTTGCAACTGCACATACCACCCGATCATTGTCTATTCGCAGCAGCTCCACTAGGATTGGTAGACCTTTTTCTTTTCGGACAGCAGCACGAATATACACTGACCACTGTTAGAAAGAGAGACAGAGACAGAGACAGAGACAGAGACAGAGAGAGAAAGAGAGAGAGAGAGAGAAGAGAGAGAGAGAGAGAGAGAGAGAGAGAGAGAGAGAGAGAGAGAATGCTGTTTATAAATATCGCAATATTGTTTTTCCACCCCCTCAGGTTACTACATAGAGAAGTAAAGGGAGTTGTGTTGATAGATTACTCTTAATGCTTTAGGAACACTACTGAACATTTCTGTCCTCAAATGAGTTTCAATTATACTTCATTTTCCCCATGCCACTATTTCCATTTTGTGGTTTGTGAGTTATTTAATAGATGTGTATTTTCAGTGCTCTAAAATGTAGGCATGTAAGAAGAGAAGGTAGATTCGGGAAATTTTTAAAAAGATGAGACAAGAACTTTGGGGAAGGAAAGACCTAGAATAAGTTTGAATATGGAGCACATTTAAGAAGAGAAGAGGGGACAATACTTGCAGAATTGAGTTCTAGGAGACAGTTGATTGGGAAATAGAAAATAAATTATAGAGAGGGAGAGGTGGAGCACAGCAAGTGATGAGTAAATCAGGGAGTATAAATCAAGTTCATAGATTTTACTTTATTCTTTGTACCCTCAGATCGATAGCTCCACAATCATAACTTTTAAAATTTTTAAATGAAGAAATATATAAAAGTTAGCTTTGGCCCCTTGTATGACTTTGTAGAATTGTTCTCATAGCTAATGTTTAACAAATTCATAGGATCATAGAGTTAGGGCTGCAAAGGGCCTTCGAAATCATCCATTGCAACTGCTCACTTTACAGGTGAAAAAACTGGGGCCTGAAGAGGTAAAGTCACTTCTCTGGCAAAATGTAGGCTCCTTGAGGTCAGTGATTGTTTTATTTTTGTCTTTGCTTCCCCAGCATTTAGTACTGTGTTGGCTTACAGTAGACATTTAGTAAATGCTTATTGATTGATTACCCAAATTCATATAGTTATTAAGTGCCAGGATTTGAACTTAGGTTCTCTGACTCTAAATTTAGGGATCCCTTCCTGATCCCACCCTAAAATCTGAGATATTAGAATGGCAAAGCCATCACAGTTGTATTAATGAAATCCAATAATACCCACCTTTAATTTAAAGACATGGTAAATACAAAATGCACGCGTGCGTGCGCATGTTTGTGTGTGTGTGTGTGTGTGTGTGTGTGTGTGTGTGTGTGTATGGGTGTGGTGTGGTATGTAAAATAGAGCACTGACATAAAAGTAAATGAATTAAAATGTGCCATCTATTGAAATTAGGTTGACATTCCACAGTTAGAGAATACCACTCATGAAATTAGGTTGGTGGTAAAGGACATATTTTTAGTTCGTGGCAATTATTTTTTCTGGAGTGGCAGGTTCCACTTTTTATATCTTCTCTCCCCTAGGCCTCATAGAAAAAGCAACTTGTATACACTTTTTACTTCCCCCTCCCCCCCGAGCTGGCTCTCACCTGTGGCAGGCAGGGTGCCCCCTCTGGCAGTGTACGTAGGGCATGAACCATGCCTGCCACATCCTCCTCACAGCCCTGCATGAAATACGAGATTTGAAAAAAAGAAAAAGAAAAAAAAAACTTCATCCCATCCTATATTAGTAATGACACACACAGACTCATCATTCCCAACTCAGGCCATGCATCCATATCACATCATTTTCTTAAGGAAGCCTGGGGCAGCTAAATGTGTCTGCTCTTACCTAGGGCTAAAATTCATTGCTTCCTAGGCCTCATTCCCATGAAGCATTAAGAGTAACAGCAGGGAAACTTCAGTACTGAAAAGGGGAATGAGCTAGTTCCACTTCAGAGTTCAAAAAGAAAGTTTGCACCTTTTGAGTAGGGATTGTTTCATTTTTTTGTACTCATATTCCAGTGCTTTGCACAGTGCCTGGCACACACTAGGCATTTAAAAGATGTTTGATTAACTGATCTAGGATTAAAAATTTGATTGACTTGATCAAGGATCAAGATCTGATTCTTCCCTAAAACTAAAGTACCATAGTCACAAACAACAAAAGGGGGAGAAATTAGAAATCAGAATTATATCATGGTATGTGTCATACCAGTATATTTTCTTGAATCCCTTTTAAAAGGAGATGGTACATAAATAATAAAAAAAGTTAATGCAGAAATGCAGTAGCATATATAATTTTGTTCTGAGATAAACATTTGCAACTACTTTTATGATACTGACAGGAATTACAGAGAGTAGGGAGATGAGAACTATGACTTTTATTCATTCCATTTTTAGTTTAATCCCTTTTGTTATGGGTGTCATTAGTTTTATTCCATTAATTGAGAGTCCTTAAGGCTGCCCTCAGTCCTCTTCTCTTCCTTTTTATACTTCTTCCCAGTGAGCTCATTTATGCATCGCCATAATGCAGATGACCACCTAATTTATCTATCAACAGTCTTGACCTTTCCATTTATCTATAATCTTATATTTCTAACTATCCAGGGGCTGTCTCATAATATTATGTATGCAGTGAATAGATTGTTGGACTAGAAGTTAGGAAAACCTGAATTCAAATCCAGTCTCAGATACTTACAAGCTATGTAACCCCGGGCAACCTAACTTCACTCAACCTGTTTCCTCACTGTTATGTGGGGATATCAATAACATTTACCTTTCAGGGTTATTGTGAGGATAAAATTAGATAACATTTCTAAAGTACTTTGCAAACCTGAAAGTGTTATCTAAATACTATAATAATTAATAATAATTATTATTATTTCATTTCCTTGCTGCTTTTATCTTCAAGGAAGCACAGTTTATATCAATTTTTTCTCAAATGTCTTTACCTTCCTAAGTCATGTTTGTTAACATAGACTTCTACCCCAGGAGAAAGGTTGGGAATGAAATTTCCCCATTCAAAATAACTAAAATTCAAAATACTGAACTGGAATTCAAATGAAAAATGAAGACTGTGATAGCATACTGGTAAAAGTTCTACTCATAGTAATTTTAATTAACATAACATTTTTAAAGTTGTATTAAACTTTTATATTATTTTAAAGTTAGAAAAAGGCTGTTAAAATGTTAGTTGATTGATGGGGTGTATACGTTAGAGTACAAGAGATTCTTGCTTAAAAGGTAGATTGTTCATGAAAGGTCTATTAAAGTGATTTCCTATAAAATGCTGTCCCAATATTGACTTTTTAGTGTAAATTAGGAGATGCTTTAAACTGGTTACTTCATCTGTAAAAATTACAGAATTGGACCTGACAGCCTCCAAGGTTCCTTCCTATCTACATATAGGGTTCCAGGAACCTATTACTTAATCTTTATTTCATAATTCAGAATGACTTGAGAAGCCTAATATGCTTTAGGATGACAATGAACCTTCTCATCAAATAGTAGTGTGGCCATACTGGTGCAGTTTGTCCTGATCCCAAGATGTATACTGGAATTGTTATTTATTGTAGATAAATCTCTGGCATCAAGTTACTTGGTTAAGTTATGTTCCCATGATTATCCGTGTAGCAAGGATTTTAACCCAGATCTCTCCTGAATCTAAGCCTGCTTCTCATTATATTACAGTGGACTCTTTTTCCCACAAAAAAGTTATTAATTTGGGCTTTCTGGTTCTTTGTATATCAGATAAAGAGGAGTTGATCCTAAAATAATGCTCTGAATATTAACAGCAATCCAGAATAATACTCAAAATTAGTCACAAAATAAAAGTCTGAAAAATGAAAGAAAAAACAAACAAACCCCAAACCAGTGAAGTATTAGAAACTAAAAACTGTTCCAAGTCTGGAAGTGGCAATCCCTAAAATTTAATACTTGAGCAGTGTTTTCACTGCCTTTAAACCATCTTTAAGATTTTGTTTTCCTCCTATCCCTAGACCTTTTCTAGGCATTTTCTCCTGAGGACAACTATTGCTGTTTTATAACAACTCTATTGGTCATTAAGATAGGAGGAGACGCTGCCACAAAAAACTTACATATCACAATCTTGCTTAACAGTGGAAGGGAACCCCATCATCTACTGGAACAAGTAATTAATTGGTTGGCAACTTGTCAATGCCCAACAATCACCAGCAAATTAATAGGCAGTTCCTTTTCTGACTAGTCTGTTTTTTTTTAAATTTAGTTCATGATTGTGATAAACTTCATTAGGGGATATTAGCACTTTAAAAACATTGATAATAAAAATGCTAATCACTGTTGGGCATTATCACAGGTTCAAGTTTGAATTTTGATTGAAGGAAGGAGAACAGTTAAGGTAATAGTAATAATTGACTTTTATATATAGTAATTAGAAGTTTACAACTCATGTTACATACAACATCTCATTTGAGTTTCAAGACGTTGGTACTATAACTTCAATTATCCTCATTTACAGGTAAGTTAACTGAGGCTCCCTCCCAGGAAGTTAAGTGGCTTGCCTATCATCTCACAGTTAGTATCAGAGGCAGGATTTCAACCTCAGATTTCTGCTGCCTTCAAATCTAGCACTCTCTCTCCAGTGTCAAGCTGGTAGGTAGAATTCTTCTCCTTTCATCCTTCAAGTATTGCTGTTGGATTGAATTTATGACAATTCACTAATTCCTTAAATTCAAAATTCATTCTGAGTGATGTCATAAAGCAAATGCTAGTGGGGAATAAAAGGAATGCTAAATAGTGAGAGCTGTATACTGAGTAGCTTATAATAAAACCAGTTAATATGATGAATTGATGAACATTTGGGATTTTGTCATAGAAGACAACTGTTACTTTTTTTTCCCCAGTCAAGTTAATAGAACTGAAAATTCTAAGCATCTTGAAATACACTAAGGCAATACTTCAAATATAACCTCCCCAAGCAAGAAGGCTTTTTGCAAAATGGCCCCCATTTGCTTTGAGGTAAGAAAAAATAAATAAAGTCAGGCTCTCTTTAGTTATATCTTTTTTCCCTCCATAGTTATTTCCCTATAAAAGTAATTTTGAAGGCATATTCACTAGATAAAAATCCCCCAAACAATCTTCAGGATCAGTAACTTTCAATTAAAAAATATGTCCTAGAAAAATGACCTTTCTTGAAAGTAGAAAGATTCTTTATTTTGAAAGTTGTAGAATATTAGAGATGTCACAAAATACATGAATTTAACATTTATAAATGTCCTTTTAGTAGCTAAGTATGACACTGTCAAATGCACTGTCTACTGAGCTATAGGAAGCTCTAATTCAGTATCTGTAGAGTTTTCCTGGTGACAAAGCTATGTGACTGCTTTGTTATAAGGTGAGAATTTGATATCAAGGTAGGTATCAGTGACCCTTTGCTTCTCATACTGGACCCCCTCCAAATATCTGAGAAGGCTCTCAACAAAGTGCAGCCTCTGACCTGTGGTACAACATCTGCTGGCTGCAAACAGAAGGTACCAATGAAGCTGCTACAAAAAGCAAACCATCATTTCTAGCTTAATGATTGTCTCGGAAAAAAAGATCTACTGGCCAAAGAGGAAAGCTCTGCATTTTAAAGTAAAATTTTTAAAAACCCCACGACACTGGATTCAGTAAAAAACAGAGTTTTAATGTGAATGGACTTCTTTTTCTGACATACTGATGACAGACTCAGACCTGACTCAGAAAATCTGACAGCCCTGTCATGGTGATTCAACCACTATCATAGCATCAAAGTTATCTAGTCACACCACCTTCAGCTGGGGATTCAGGAGTCTGTTAATCACATTAGCCAGCTCTGGAGAGCTAGAAAATAGAAAGAAACTGCACTTTGAAAACCAGGAACTGTCTGTCCTTTTCTCTAAACTCCTAATTAGGCCAAAATCTACCACAAGAAATTAATACTTGACGTATTTCAAGAATATTTAAATAGAAAGGGTTCTCTGAAATCTGCACAATGTTGTTTTTTCTTCCATAGCTTATTATCAATAATATTATCAATAATAATGACAATGGTAGTTTAAATTTCTATAGAACATTTTGGGACACAGAGTATTTTACATCTATTAACTTCATTTCATCTTAAAGAATTTATAGTGGGAAGGGATATAGTGGTCACTCATCCCAAATGGAGGCCCTACAAGGTACACAGAGTTACTGAAATTATAATTAAAAAAAACCCCCACTAACATTTACAGAGCGTTTTAAGGTTTACAAAGTACTTCACAATATTATCTCATTTGATCCTTACAACAATCTTTGAAGATAGGTGCTGTTACTATCCCCCTTTTACAGATGAGAAAACTGAAGCAAGGAGGATTGACTTGTGAAGGTCACACAGTGTCTGAGGCTAGATTTGAACTCAGATCCTCCTGATTCTAGGTCCAGTGCTTTATCCATACTGTACTACCTAGCTACCTCTAAAGTCACATGAATTACAAAGCTAAGAGGAACCCAATATTTGAATCATGGCCTGTAGTTATTTTTACTAGACCTTTTCCCTGATTTTCATCCTAAAGCATTTCTACATTTTCACCTCCCATGATCATAATTAGTCAAAACTTGTTAATTTGGCTAAAAGAAAACATATGAAATATCAAAGATTTCATTATAGTTTTTAAGAATTATATGTACCGTGCTACTCCATTATGTATTATTAGTTAATAGGTCAGTATTTAAATAAGTATTGAATGTATCATACCATGAAAGGAAAAAGTCAGTGGTTAGATTTGTAAACATAAATTAGGGGGAAATTTTTTATTGTATGTAGATGTCTAGAGCTATGCTCTTATAAGTTTCTTTTTTGCTATCTCCTATCTGGGTAAAATAGAATTGTTTCTCATAGGGTTAATTTGAGATTTTTAATAAAGTTCCTGTCCACTTTTAAGCTTTTAATAGCAGAGGTTGTAAATACAATAAAATACAACCAATAGATCATAGTTAAAATCATATTTGTTCAAGCTCTACTTCATAACTATAAATATCATATTGCTGGTATGATACTGAGATAAACAGAAAATGACTACCAAAGATGGGAAAGTGAATAGGACTGAAATCCCTACCAGTTATAAACAGAAAATTTACCATTTTCCCTATCATAATGCCATCATATTTCTATCATATTTGCAGCCTGTTATTACTATTTAAAAGCTAAAAGTTTTTAAGATGCACAGTAATGTTATAAAGACATTTCTTTTTAGTTAAACTATAACATATAAAGTCTACTTCTATGTAATAAAATCTTCAGATAAGGATATTTGTAAAGTGCTACCAGCATGCCACACTTTGGGATTTTAAATTGGAGATACACTTTTGGTCCTAGTCTTAAATTTTAAAGATCAATAAAAAGACAACAAAACAACCAAATTCTTACTTTTATTATAAAAGCACATTTTGAGGGATTCTGGATTTGAGTGACTGAGGTGGGAACTTACTGTGTGACCTTAGGCAAATCACCCTCTATGGGCCCAGTTTTCTCATCTATAAAATGGAGATAATAATACTTGGATTAAAGGACACCTTAATACCATAATTATTGATTGATACATTGTTATGTTCCAGTCATTCAGGGCAGGAAGTAGAAAAATATATCCTACCTCTAACCCCTAGTTCACTTGAAAAAGAAACAACATTGCATATGAAAATAAATATGAATATTTATATGGTGATGGTCCTGGCCTAGTTAGGGAGATCATCCATGGAATTCATTTATCTATTTCAGTGCTCCCTTTTTTTAATGTCAACAATCAACTACTGACTCTCTTGCTTAAAGGTAATGTCACAAGACCTATCTGTAAGGGCCCATCCTTACAAGAAATCATCAAGTTGCCTTCGCCAGTAGGGATAATTTACCCCCCCATATTCATTTTTAATTCTTGCAGACTATTGATGGGGATTAGCATATATTTTCAGTCTTAAAATGGTTCCGCAGTAAAACAAAATAGGAGAAATGTTGACAGCAGGATATTTAAAAATAAGTGATGCTGGTATTTCTTTGAAAATAAACTGGAGCTATATTAATGTTCATTCCTTTAATTTTTTTCTCCAGTGCTGTATTGTTCCTAGTTCTATTAAGGTCAGTGCTTTTTTGGGGCCAGAGAAGAAGAAAAAAATCAGGTATTTTGTCAAGAAACAAATGGAAAACTAGATAAATCGAAAGCCTAATCTGGTTTGTTGATGTGCATTTTCAGGAGAAATGATATAATTTCAAAACAGAAATAAAATCCCTGAATATTTTAAGTAAGCTGCACTAAGGAAAATTGAGTGATTTGTAACAGAGGTAGTATCAAGGATGAATTAAAGTAATTTTGATAGGTGTCCAAGAATGCTAAGGTTCTGTTTTGTTTCCTAATATGTTCTGAGATCTTTAAGATGAAAAGGGTAGAGAATCCAAAAACCATTCTAAGCAGTTGAATCAATAGACATCTATATTCTTGCCCAATGAAAATTATAGGTGAGTTTTAGCCCATTCCTTTTTCTTTTTTTTTGGCGAGGCAATTGGGCATTTTAGCCCATTCTGCCATACCAAATTTCTTAGCATAGAATCTATAGGACCCATAGCATGGGTGTCTTCCACTCAGGGAGGTAAGGGATGTGCCATTTTTGCTTCTGAGGAATTCAGGAATTGGAGGTTGTCCAAAATATGATAATATGGTACATCAGTCTCAATGAGACTCATTTTCTGGTCCAAGCCTCTGAGTCAATCTGATCAATATCCTCAACAGCTAGGCTGTTGCCAGAAAAGCAGAATCACAGAGGTGAGCACAGAGAAGTAAAATAACTGTGATAATAAAATAAAGTGGCAATAGGATAGGCCTCCTTAGGAATTTTTTTCTTTTTTTAAAGTAGAGGCAAACAAAGCTGAGGGGAAAAGTGAAAGGAGAGCAACAGTTGCCATTTTTCGTCCTTTGTTCTTGAAGCGGACTAATGACATAATGAGGGTAGTGTCTTACACATGAATTGTATTTAAGTGAGGCATTGCTGCACAAAGTCATCAGCCTCACTCTCTCCTCCACAGTCATTGGAGGCCAGCAGCAGAACAGAAGTCAAGATGACTGACAATGGCCCAGAATGCAGCATGTGAAGGGAAGGATGCCAGACATATTCTATGACTGCGGTATTGGGCTACTAAGTCTAGGTAATAGATATATATTTAAATGATAAATGTCTGTCCAGGCAAAAGACAATTTATGGATACCTTCAAATCCTAGGAAAATAAGAAAAACTTTCCCCCTTTTAATATTTTTTCCATGTGCCTATATGGAACACCCTTCTTTAGACTACTTAATTACTACGTTTCTTTCAATAATTATCTCTTACTAAATAAGAAGACTTTTTAGTGGCAGACAACTTTATATTTATCCCACAGAAAATCATACACACACACACACACACACACATGTGTGTGTGCATATGCATGTCTATAAATGTTATGTATTTATTTAGAAAGAGCTATTAGAAACTTAAAAGGTCATCTATTGCAACATTTTCATTTTAGAGGTAAGGGAAGGGAGGCCGAGGGCAATTAGGTGATTTGACCAATATTATATAAACAGTAAGTACTAGAGGAGCTAGAAATTGTTCTTAGAATTTTGGATTCTAAATCCACTCTACCAGTATTTTTCATCAATATAATTAAGGAGAAAAAAACCCCAACAGATAAAAACTCAGACGGATCCAATAACAAATACTATAGAGGGCATGGTTATCTGCAGATGGCACTAAGTTGGCAGAAATATTGAAAGACAAAATTAGGATTCAACAAGATCCTAACAGGCTAGATTATTGGATCAAACCTAAAAAAATAAAAGTCAAGAAGGTTACATATGGGTGCCCCAAATTCTCTTCACAGAGGAGATATGGTTAGTCAACAATTACTCTGAAAAAGACCTAGGAGTTTTAGTGGGCTGAAAGCTCAGTATAAGGCAACAGTGCTAAGACAGCCAAGAAAACCAACGTGATCTGAGGCTGCATTAAAACAAATCCAAGATAAAGGAGCTGACAGTTCTGCTGTTCTCTGCTCTGCTCGGACCACATTTGAAGCACTGGGTTCATTATGAGGCACCACATTTTGTCAAAATGACCTAATAAGCTGGACCGGGTCCAGAGAAAGGGAACCATTATGGTGAAGTGCCTCAAGTTTATGCCATATAAATTGAGGAATTAGTTGAAGAAACTAGAGATATTTAGCATGGAGAACAGAAGTCTCAGGAGGAATATGGTAGCTGTTTTCAAGTATTTGAAGGCTGTCCAGTAGAAGATGGATTAAAACTATTCTGTTGGGCCCTTGAGGGTAGCATTGACTGATGAGTAAAAGTTGTAAAGGGGTGAATTTAAGTTTGATGTCAGGGAAAAAAATGCTAACAACCCCGAAGCAGAATGGATTGCTACAGGAAATCATAGGGTCTTCCTCACTATAGGGGTCTTCAGACAAAGGCTGGATTACTACTTGTCAGCCATATCAAAGAGGGGGGCCTTTTTAAAGGTAAAAATTAGGTTAAAAGACTGCTCCATCCCACCTCTGAAATTCAGTGAATTGGTTCTATTCTACTTATTCTTCTCATTGACTTTAAATTATCAGTATGGATGACCAAGAATGTCATTTCTTTACTACCCCCACCCCACTAGTTTTAAACCTTCCTTTAGCATGCTGTCTTCGCCCATTAGAATGTAAACTCTTTGAAGGCAGAGACTTTCTTTTTGCTTTTATTTATATCTCCAGCATGTAGCATAGTGCCTGGCACATAGTAAGTGTCTAATAAATGTTACTGACTTGACCTTCCATCTGTCATTATTTTAAAACAAACTACATTCATTTCCTTCTGGAAGAGACACGATGGATGTAAGGTCAAATACAGATTCACTACTAACAGAGTTAGGCACAGAGTCAGGAAATGCCTAAATTCAGATGTAGCTTTAGACTCTTATAAGCCAGGTAACCACGGACAAATCACTCAATCCTCTGAGCCTCAGTTGTTTTCACCTGTAAAATGGGATTAATAAAACCTGTAGTACCTACATCAAAGGGTTACAGTGAAGGATAAATGAGATAATGCATGTAAAAGGACTTAGCAAACCATAAAATTGTATATTCAAGTGTTCCCTCCTTTGACAGTAATGAACAATGTTTCAAAAATGCTATGAAGTTATGGTTACTTAGAAAGGTGAATTGTTGTTAGTATAATTACAAAAATGAATATAAAGCAAATTGTACTATTTTTCTATCACTATACTTAAACATACTGTGACTAATTCTCATATATTAGCTATCTTTAAGTATCTCTGAACAATTTAATAGATTCTTTATATACATATACATATATATGCGTAATATTTTAATTTTCCCCAATTACATGCTAAAACAATTTTTTAACATTAAAAAAAGTTTTGAGATCCAAATTCTACCCCTCCCTCACTAATTAAATGGATTCTTAAGAGCAATACTTAATATAAATTTGCTTAAGTTTAAAAACTGAGTTCAATTTGCCTTTCAAAATAGTTTTTTTTAAAAAATGATTAAATGATGTTCATTTGGTGGAATTACTACTACATTTCCCATATCTAAATCTTTATTTTTTTCTAAGTATTAGTTACAAATTCAGACATTTTCTTGTGAGTAATAGGTCATACCTTCCAGCTACCTGCAGCCAAATTCTGCAGGGCACCTGCTGCACCTTCTAGAGTGTCCGGGTTTGAGCACTCGGAAAGAAGTGTGAGGTAGGGTTTGACTATTGAAGGGTGCCACAGCATCTGGATTCCTTTTGGGGGTTCTGCACAGTCAGGCAGAGGTCCCACGCCATCCCACTGTGGAAGAAAAATATGATGCAAAACGTCATTGCAAAATTTCCTTGAAACTTCTCACATCCTTTCTTTTAGCAGACATCAAGGGACCTAAGCACAAGAGGGAGTAGGTGTCCAATACTATGTACTGTATCTTCAAGAAATTAATGTTACTAATAATCATGTCTACATCTTTTAGACATAATTAGAACTAGAGATAAGTTTTAAGTTAACAAAAATAATTTGTTTGGGTTAGTGCTTACGGCAAGCAAAGAAGCAAACTACAAGATGACTGAACCACTCAGAGAAGTTTGCTGTGGCTCCATTCGTGGCAATGAAATCTTAGGCATGAAGTGACCCACAGAGTTAAGGTGACTCTGCCCCTTATTTCCTCTCATATGGTTTTTACTGGATTTAAAAATTCAAAGGAATTAGTATAACAAGGATGAAATACAAGCAAGTACACTATTTCTAATAACAGAGTGATTTACTTAGAAAAATCCCTGGTCTCATTTACGTTTCTAGGAAAGACAAAATAATCATGTCACCATTTTGATTAGGCCAGAATAAAACAACTACATGCTGTTTGTCCTGAGTTTGTTAATAATCACTTAAAGAGCATATTTTAAAAGTTACTCAGTTGCAGTTACTAAAACATCTTAAAAACATCTTTATTATGTAAGTCTTTAAATTTTACCTCTGGAAGGACATGAGAGATTATCTATTTTTTATTATTTAATTTAATTTATTTTTTTTCTTTTGGCTAGGCAATGGGGTTAAGTGACTTGCCCAGGGTCACACAGCTAGTATGTGTTATGTGTCTGAGGCTGGACTTGAACTCAGGTCCTCCTGAATCCAGGGCCGGTGCTCTATCCACTGTGCCATCTAGCTGCCCCATGAGAGATTATCTAGCAAAACATTTCTACTAATAATTCTATACTTAACTGATTAAAAAAAATACTCAGTTCTGAGCATTAAGAAAATTTAGGACAAATATCATCTGATTATTAAGGAAAAGTTGAAATGTTAATATATGCTAATTATTAAAGAGAAAAAAGTCTTTTACTGTCATATGTAATATCAAGTATTTCATCATTTTTCTCAAACAGACAAAAGACTAGTGTCTTAATTAAAGAGCTTGCTTTTCTTTAGATTATAATAAATCCTACTCTTATATGCTGATCTGAGTCTTAACATCAAGGAAATGCCTGTCTTTCCATTAGGAGTCATTAAAAAAAAACCAAATGAACATTGCCAATCAAGTACAGCATTACAAGGCTACCCATAATGTGAGAGCTCCTTCTTAGTAACAGTCCGTGGCCAGGCCATATAAAGTTGATTTTGTACCTGTGTACTGTCTTTCACTTGAACTAATAGACCTTTATCTTCTTCAAGCCAAAAGTTTTAAAAAAAAGTACAAATAGAAAGTGAGTTGGCCCTGTAAGAGTGTATCAGTTTCATTATTTGAGAGTGACAGCTCTGATACAGGATTCATTACATTCAGACAGATACGAACATCAAGAGGAGGGCAGCATCACTCTGTGGCATTATCAGCTTCCATGACACAGTAGTCAAATTGGCTGCTCAAAGGAAAGAAGCTCAATGCTATTAAACCCATATCCTAGTACAATGGAGAAAGCAAAATAAATGTTATTTTATCCCTTCTATGTCTAATTTATCATCTTATGGAAGAGTTACCGATATAATTTTTCACGACTGTCTCTTGATATAAGATAGCATGCCATATTTATGAACAGCCTCACTTGGCATGGACAGTTGTGCTGATTCGCTCTTAGTATGAAGCCCATATTTGCACATGATCAAATCCTTTTGTGAATAATTGCATTTTGTAGGAATGGGAAGGAAATATAGATGATAACGTCCTTTAATGTAAAAAGTATTTTTGACAGATTAGGTACTGTAACATTACATAGAGATAGCAAGGTGGTATAGTGGATGGAGTGCTGGGCCTGAAGTCAAGAAGACTCATCTTCCTGAGTTTCAATGTGACCTCAGACATTCACTAGCTATGTGACCCGGGGCAAGACACTTAACCCTGTTTACCTCTGTTTCCTCATCTGTAAAATGAGCTGGAGAAGGAAATGGCAAACCATTCCAATACCTTTACCAAGAAAATCCAAATGGGGTTACAAAGAGTTGGACGTGACAGAAAATCAATGGACACTTGAAAACATTACATGACATAGAGCTAGGTGGGGCATATCCTATTCTATAGAAATTATGTAACAAAAAATTGGTATAGGTGAAAGAAGTTGGGTTAACTTTATAGGCTCATAGATTTAGAGCTGCAAGGGAATCATTGAGGCTACTGAGTTTAACCCCTTGTTTTATAGATGAAAAAACTGAAGCACAGAGAGATTAAGTGAAATTCCCAAGTTCACAAAGCTAGTAAGTATCTGAGGCAGGATTTGAACTCGGGTCTTCCTGAATCCAAGGCCAGAATCCTCCACTATGCCACAGAGTTGCCATTCTTGGCTGGATCGTGTCCTCTTCTTTTTCTAGCTTCTCTGCTATAAAATATGATGAATGGTTAAATCAGTGTACACTTTTTCTACAGCTGTAAAATATGCCCCACCTAGCTGACATGAATAAGGATAATCTTTGATGGCCACTAAAGATGTAGTTCAAAGGTGTTTTTGTTTTTGTTTTTTTTCTGTTTTGGAGCCTTGATTATACTGTGGGATGTTAGTACTGAAGAAGAAGAAATATTTTTAAAGTCAGCAGATATACTTGACTTTAATGTAGTTCCTTTATTCAAACTTTTGCTAAGTTAATAAGAGGAAAGCCCTCAAATGTTCATCAAAACATATTTCCACAAGTAACAAATGGTGTGAATCTCAATCATTATAAAACACCATAAGGAGTTTTGCAGATTGATTCATATAAGAATGAAAGAAAATAATGAGGTTAGTGAAATGGTTGTACTATGTATGAAAACTTTCAGGAAGGAGATTCTTTGAGGAAAAAAAATGATTGTATGATTATTCTTTCTAATAATGGAAATTTATCACATATTATAAGAGCAGTAACATCTAAATTATATTTTCATTAGAATGACCATATTTTGTATATTTAATAGCCCAGATGGTGGACCATTTTTTTTAGATTCACAAGCATTGCCACAGGTAGACAAGTTTAATGCAAACAGAATCCTAAGTAGAAAGAATTTTAAGCCTTTTAAAAAAATTTCTCTAAAACTAGATGTGTGAAAATAAGAGAAAAAAATAAAAAAATTTTCCCAAGTTATGAGAGGAGACTTTTTAAGCAAAATGAAGTGTTGTAATGAGAACTTGCTTCTCCAAGCACCAATCCTTGGCAGTATCAGTAAAACCTTTTGAATGGATTTCCCGAGTGGTTCCTGAGATATATCTACTGAATAGAGTAACCTTATGCTCAAGTTCCAAAATCAGGCAAAGATCCAAATGAGGTAAAATTGAAAGAAGAAAAATGGAATTATGGTGAAAATAAAGTAATGCATTTTGGGGCTACTCTCTTTCCTTAATTTAAAAATTTTAATACTGTTTTAACATTTAAGAAGTGTTTTCAATGCTATTGCTTTTGGATAATCTTAACAAACAAGACATGGAAAAATTGTGACAGGGCTCAATATATAAGTTCTCATTTTCTTTTATAGGTTGTTGAAAATGTTATTCTTAAAAGAGCATAGGAATATTTATATGAGTCTACGCAAAGGTAAGTAAGCAGGGCATAAAAACAATGTAGACAATGACCACAACAATAAAAGGAAACCAAAAAACTCCACAATGATGTATTATCATACTGTATTAATTACAATTACCAAACAGCCCTGAAGGAGAGATGAGACAATGTACTTCTCTCCCTTTTGAATGAGGGTGGGGGACTAGGGGTGTGGAACATTGCATACATTATTGTTTTATTATTATTGTATATTATTTTTGCTAAACCAATTTTTCTTTCTTTTTAAACTGTCTGGCTTGCTGTCAAGAGGAGCGTGGCAGGTTATACTAAAAAATGAAGTTGATATACTAACAAAAGTTATCAATGCATTTTTTAAAAGGCACTGCTCAGACACTAAAATGACTTTTGCATATATTGGCCTTTCGTGGGACCTCTTATCATGAAAAATACAGACTATAATTTGGTAAGTAAGAGTTCATTCACTCTTTTGTATAATGTTAAGCATGATGCTAATATTTTTGATATGAGATATAAGACTAAGATAACTTTCTTCTTAAAACATCTAATTATATTAGTCTTGCTTCTTAGTAATCTTATCCCAAAGTTATCTTAGTAGAAGATTGACGATGCTGCCAAACTGAGGAGAGGTTCTAGAATAAACTTAATTCCACCCCTGGGTAATTGGATACACTCATTTGCAGGTAGGTGGCATAACAGCTCAAGCACCATCCCTGAAGTGAGCAAGATCTGAACTCAAATCTGGGTTTAGACACTTATTGCTTTTGTCATTTTGGGCAAGTCGCTTAACTTCTGTTTGCCTCAATTCTGTTATCTGTAAAACAGGGATAATAATGGTACCTACCTCCCAAGTCTGTGAAGATCAAATGAGATAATATTTGTAATAATATCACATTATTAGGTACTTAATATGTGTTTGTTTCCTTTTCTTCCTTCCTTATCACCTATGACTGCACCAAGTTGTAAAAGAGCTTAACAATTTTTTTTCACTTCAAACTTATGACTATCATAAACAACAAATATTTAATAGCATTGAAGATACTGACTATGGCTTCAAGACCTTGAGGGTCAAGCCCTCAATCTATGTTACTGGTAAAGACTCGTTAGAGAAAAGAGGCATTGAAATGTACATAGGATGAAAGTATCCTAATTCCAAAAATCATCCAAGATTTTTCCCCCCAAGCCCAAAGATTCAGTGCCTAGACAATGCAAAGAAACAATGAAGACAGGTATAAATAACTAGGGTGATAAACCACCTTGAACTGTTTATAAAAAGTTTCTGTCGCTCACTGTTTGGATCAGGAACAAGTCATATAAATTCTATG